GGGGGGGGGGGGAAGGAATTTTGTGAATAAAATAATTCAGGAAATTACATTTTGTTTTGCGCACTGATGCGGCTCCACCTTTGAATTTACTATTATTAATATGAATAGATTGTTAAACACGTCCGAATTTATCAACATGATAAATTCGTGGCACCTAACCCCTCACACTAACCCTAACCCCAACTCTAACCACTAACCCCTAACCCTAATCTAACTTTTGGGAAATTTTTTTGCTTTTTTAACCGTTTTTTAAACTTTTTTAAACTTGTTTTTTGAAATTCATGTTTTTGTAAAAGTTCTCCAAATTTTAGCTATAATTTTTAATTATTGTTACTCGTCTATTTCAGTTTTTCCTTTCCTATCTAACTCATGTTTTGCCGACTGCGAAAACAATTTCCCGACTCGGATTCAATAATTTACCGACTATACCTGACGATTGGCCCTGAGTCGGTTTAATTTAACACCACTACACAACACACTGCTTACAAAACATAGTCTAGCTCTGTTCCCCTACCATATTCTAACTCGTCCCCGACGGGGGGGAGGGGAGGGGAAGAGGAGCTAGCTTCTCCGACAAGGAAGGGGCTTTGTAGCCACCCTTGGCTGAAGCAAAAAGGAAGGGAATTTTAATGTATCAAGGTGAAGTTACCCTGAGTAAACCCTCGTATTTTTTTCTAAACCTTTCGCTGGAACTTCGTGAAGACAATACTATTTCCAGTAGGTCGATGGTCGACAAAATATACTGTTTCCCCAAAGTCCCAGTCAATAGATATTGTCGGTATTATATACCAAGTGTCAAAGAAAACAAAAAGAAAAACGAAAAGGAATTGGAAACGTCCGCAATTTTTACTTTACAAATTGACGATTTTATTATTCTGCATTGGGGAATAAAAGTAATTATAGCGTCAGAGCTGTTCCCATGAGACACTTTCCTGACCGATTCACGTGATATGCTCTCGTCTAATGAAATGCAAAAACATGACATTTGACACTTGGTATATAATAAATATTAATTAAATAACGACTGCAACGGGTCTGAGTTCAGAATATTCGACGTTTGAAGCGATCAGTTAAATGAATACGACAGGAATGCTATCTCCAGCAACCTCCAACCGGTAATTCGAAGTTAAATATGAAGACCAGTCCCAATCTTTTCACGCATGCAAAGTGCGCGGACAATCCGTCAACATCAATATTTATTCTTGAAAACCGGCTTAAAAATTACAAAAAAGCTTTTTAACAGCGCTTAAAACTTTCTATTGTCGCATTTATTCAGGTAAATAATTCTTGTAGACTTTCTTTTAGTTTTTCCAATAATTGCTTATTCAAAGAGCAGTATACAGTATGTGTGCCTCGAGAGAATCGCGAGACATAAACACGCGTGTCTTGACCCCCAAACCGCGTATCTGGGGATTAGATTTGGCTTGAATAAGAAGATGGGGAATTTATCTGGAGGTAGCGTTCCTGCAGTCATATTCATTTCACTAGAGGAGATAGATGACAAGCACTAATAATTAGGATATTATATGGTCAGCCGGTGCAATTGAGTAAATGTTTGGTCCACATGATCGATATCATTCTCGTACCCAGAGCCCTTCTTACGCGCGGTGCGACGAGGGGCTCTGGCCAAATCCATAACCGAATACCATAAAAACATGGTAAGAAAACAATGTCCGATGTTAGAACTAGCCAATCAGATGCCAGTTCGGAATATGGATTTGGCCAGAGCGAGCCCCTCGTCGCACTGCGCGTAAGAAGGGCTCTGAGTACGAGAATGGATCGATATAGAATCGCAAACATTTGAATAGTTTAAGAATAGTTATATTATAGCGATTTGACATATTCGTTTTCATTATGCCAAATTTTTATTTCATTTTATTTGATGCGATTCGGCCGCGACCGCGATCTAAAAATGCCTGAAAACGGTTGTGAAAGCGCGGATGTAGACTTCACAGTTAATTAAAAAAGAATGTTTAATTTATAAATAGATGTGTTTAATCAGGCTTACAGTTACACTAATAATAATATTTATTCAGGAAGCTCCACTCACAGAAGTGGTTTTCAGGGAGGTCCTGATCTATATTATACATGGCATGGTAACTATATACTATGCTAATATTTAGAAACTATAAAAATATTTACAAGTGGTCCATTAAGATTGTTTCTGTTCAATAGGTAATGAGTTCCATTCCGATACCGAGTAATAAATGAAAGAAACAATTAAAAAAAAAAGATTAAAAAAAATAAATAAACGATAAATAACAAACGATAATAAACTATTAAAGAGTTGAAAATATCTCTATTCGGCAGACAGCTCTGTCCGATGATGCACATCGGCAGAAACCCATAAATCATATAGGTAAGCTAATTTTGTTGTATTCTTCCGTTAACTGGGATTACTGTATATAATGATGTGATATGTCAGCTATATCCAAAGTTGTTGATATAGACATGCTACAATCATGAAAACTGACAAGCGTTATCTATCCATGACACAATTACACTGTCTAGTCAGACTAACGCCCGTATTCTAAAAGCTCACTCACACTCAATTAGTGGAGATTCAATCTGAGCTTCTCTTTAGTGTCAATGGTATTTTTGAATAGCCGGAGGAATAGTGTCGTACCTTACTATGTGACTACTCACCCTCCAGCTATTCAAAAACAGCATTGACACTCAAAAGAAGCTCAGATTGAACCTCCACTCATTGAGTGTGAGTGTGAGTGAGCTTTTAGAATACGGGCGTAAGACTATTTGCAGGTGATCTTCAGATAACAGGTAATGACTCGTTTGATGCGTGTGATTTATCCACTGAGTTTGGAATTGCATCTGGGTTCAAAGGATCATCAGATTCCACGGGCTCGTGCTCTTGTGCCGGCAATGTGCTTGGTCCAGGAAGCAAGGATTCTTGTGAATCAATAATGCGCCTTTCTTCCTCATCTTCAGCAGCTGAAAAATAGAGTTTGAAATTTATATTTCTGCGTGCTAACTTCGTGAAATATAGCATAGGTCTTGTAGACAAACATTAGCCAAATTTGTCTATTTTTTTGTATATTCAGAGAATTTAATATTTGTATTGACATTTGAGTTACACAAGGAAATCTTTGCCGCAACTCTCAAGACAATTTCAGTCCTGATTCAGGGTTTCAAGAGGTAATTATTAAAAATGAATAATTATAGACTTCCCGAATTTGCTTAATTAAGAGCGCATGAAACATTAGCTTCAAATCGAGGCGGACAACCAACTAGGAAATGCGGGAAGTGTCTGAGAAAATGTCTTGGTAAAAATTAAGAGTCATGTTGGGTTTGATTTAACTGTATTGGGGAATTGCGTTGTAATTTCGCTTTTACAAAATGTTGTGCACAAAATTAAGCTTTAATTTCTAATATAAAATAGAGTAATTTAGGAACGATGTTTAGTGGAAAACCGAAAACAACATACATGTTTCGCGAAAAAATATGAAGCAAATACATATATACAACATTCAAAACAAACTTGCCTTATTTTTCATGGTTTCCCATCTTATATCGCTTCTTGCCATTTTTTTAAAGTAAAATTTTAGAAAAATCGCCGCTTTACAGCTCACTGTATGAAACGACATTCCCACTGTTTTCAAGATTTATTTACACAATACCATTTCTTTCCTTGTCTTAGACGCTTTTTCGAAGCTCAAATAGCAACACATCGCTTTACATTTTAATATCGTACAGGAAATCAATGAAACTTGTACGCGCAGCATGCACAAAGATGATACTCTATACATGTGAATGGCATAATGGCAATGGCGAAATATCAACTTTGGGGAAAGCCCTGTACGAGAAACTAAAATGCAAAAATAGTGGCCCTGAGCCGACGGCGCTTCCGAGGGTACTAATTCCCCCGGCTATTTACACCCGGGGAAACGAAAGCATTAGCCAAGTCTAAAGTTCATCAATTATCGCGGGCGTGGGTGACCAACGATGGGTGGTCATCCTCACTGATCTCAAAAATATGGCGGACAGTAATGAATAGCGGACACTGATTGGTCCAATTTAAAGTTTTCATTTAACGACTGCATGACGACAGCGAAATAGCAAACATTTCTTGATTTGATGATTGATAAATTTTTTGGAAATATATTTCATTTTTGCTCGCATTTTTGCAAGATTTTGTAAATTTCAAAAGCTTTCTCATAAAGAAAGGGCGAAAGAATCGGCTAAAAGAAGGGAGCCGACGTTAACGAAGGTAAGTTTGTTTTAAATATTGATTTTATAATGATTAATGGTTTTAAAACCCGACGGCCTTTGCGTATATGAAACAACTAAACAAGACAGCATATAATTTCAGTGTATCTTTAATATTGATTCCTTTTTTATTATATTGAATTTTTTAATTAAATAAAAAAGAAAGTAAAGTTATTTGCATGCGAGAATTTGAAATCACTTTATTGCAAACTCAAAGTTTATCGATAAAGCCATTTAATTAAAGGCAGTTTAGTTTTATAAAGAACACTTTAAAAGTTTTGCGAAGCATTTGTGATTGAATTTTACCTTAAATTGAAGCTTATAACATACCTAACATATATATGTTTGGAAATTGATAATTTTGTAATTAAAAGTGATATTTTTAGGCGATTTTTCATTTGTAAGAATATTCTTAAAAAATAGGTACGCGACGCGTACATGTATCTGCGAAAAAACTTGATTCACATTCATGGGCGTACCGGAAGGAAAAAATTAGGGGGGCGGAAAGAAAATTGCCCGACTTTTCGGGATTTTGCCCGACTACTACCAAAAAATTTTTTCCGGAAATTTATTCAATCCAGACTCATCAAATTTTCAAAACTTTATTGTAATCATATGAAGCAAAAGTTATGTCATTTGTTGTTTACACTTGCCAATGTTAACTGTTGAGTAACATACACAAAATATTTGGTGAACATGTCGAAGACTACTGAATAATTGAGAATGTTTTGAAGGTCATGAATGAAGTATATAATTAAATTCCAGTTCTCTGCACAGTTAATGATATACCACACTCGGTTCGGTTTAACACGTACAGCACATTCATAATTTTATACATACACATAATAATTTTATACATGCACCCTATATTATTCAGACAAAGTTTAAGTTAGTACTGATCATCACTGCATTAACACAGTCAACAATGTTGTAAAGACATTTCAACTATTTGCTATACTGTATGTCAATTTGTCTCGGTCGTTCTCATGCAAGCATGTCACGCAGAAACAAGACAGGAAATTAGGTGTGACATTACTGCTCAGGGTATTTCACAATTTTAGTATTAAATAACAAAAAGATATGCACAGATACCGCACCGACAGGCGTTGCCGATGTTTTGCCGACTGCTAACGTTGTTGGACGACGTGAGCGTCCATAGATATAGAATTGCAGGGCACGCGGTTCCATTTTATTTTGCTCGTAGCCTATTCCTAACAACACGCTGTACAGCAAAATGGGTAGCAGTTCTTCTAGGCAACAAGGTCCGAGTCGATCACAGTCCTTGGTTTTATACGACAACAAAAAAGCAAGCGAAGCCGTTGAGCATGTCAGAAGCGATTTTGTCGATCCACGTAGTTTGGTGGACAAACTTCGTCCCGGAGACATGATTCAAGTGAAAGGAAACATGGTCCATCAGTGGTTCTACAGCCATTTTGCGATTTTCATTGGTAATGGCGAGATAGTCCACGTTGATTCTTCCGACAGTATGTTAAAAAAATGCGATGTCGTAAGAATACACATGGTGGACGCGTTTAAAGGCAAACTGGTCAGGAAGAACAACCATTTGGATAACGCTGATGGTTTTCGCGACAAGATTCAATCGCCTGGCCAAATTGTGAAAACAGCGAGAGGTTGGGTTGGCAAGTTTTGGGATTACAACTTCTACACCAACAACTGTGAGCATTTTGTTACACTGTGTCGATACGGCCGCCCGATTAGTCTTCAATCTAGTGGCATCGGTGACTTGATGTCTGGGAAGATTACCACCAAGGAGTTTGTGGATCACAGTGTGTACAGCATCAAGGAGAAAGCGAGTACTTTGTGTGCCTGGATCAAGCGTAAAGCGAGAGGCTTGTGGGATGGGATTGAGTAAGTAGATATTAATTTTGGTTTAGTTTGCCCATTTTTATTTCCAGGGCGTTGAAACATGACGGTAAAATTATTAGTAAACAATTAAAGTTCTCTCATGAGAAACATGAACATGGAAGTTTTGCGTTAATCTAAATGTGACTGTACGTGCAGATTCTTTAGTTATCATGATATTAAATTCAGCTTAATTTCTAATATTTAACACATTGATGTAAAAAGCTTCATCGCAGACAAAATCGTCTTGTGCATTTGAATTTTTCGCAACAAACATCGAGAGAAGCATGCGCACGAAAAATTATATGGCTCATGCGCAGCGATAAAAATCACTCTGGTGAGGTGTATCTGTAATAGAATGGCAAAGCATATATAGGCTACAAAAGTAACAACGTATGATTAAGCACTTGAGGCCACAAGGTTTT